TTCCTCTATAGCTTAATCCTGCATCACAGAAATAATAATATAGGTTATGTAGATGCCACTTAAACCAGTTTCAACCCTTTACCCTTACTGTTGATACTGGTGTGAAATCAGTCTGCCATGTTATCAAAGCATTTCTTTGTTATGGATGTGGTTTGGGAGCCAGTCACAAGTGGACCTCTTGCTGCTGATAACCGAGATGCTAAGATAAATGTCTGAATTGGGTCCTCATTAGCATTTTCAGTAAATCAACCTGCAGGTCACTCAAATAACAGTTTGGTTCAAATTACTCTTGGGTTTCTATTAGCTGATTTTCACTCTACCCTGCTGGTTTTTGTGGATTTAATTTTTAAGCCTCCAGTCTGCCTTATGTCAGCAATCCTGATTTTGAAGTGTTCTACTTGTCACTGTTAAAGTTTTAACATAGTACTTGCATATTCTAGCATATTCGTACCCTTAAATAATGCCCGGGGAGTGGGGGCGGGGGATGGACAAACCAGGTCTCTAGCATCCTTGTCCTGGACAGAAATTGTGCACACATGTTAGGGAGGGATTATTAGAAAAGGGATTGAGAAGAAACATGCTCATATGAGAATGCCTTTGTGTAAAGCTGCAGTCGGACTGCATTAAGATCTTCACTAACTCTGCTTAGAATGCCCCCCCACTTCTGTAGCAAGAGGAGTAGCAGTGGGGGAAAGGACTGTCTTTGCTAGGGTCTGCCTCATCTAGCAGGGACCTTTCCTGTCCTTCCATCAGGCTGCTTCCTTAATGCCTGTTTAAAAAGAATCTAAAGATCTTGGTCTTTTCTGCTTCTTACGGGGAGTAGCCAAGTTAATCTTACCTAGAATCAATCCATTAAAATGAATGAATCTATATAGGACACTGGATAGTAAACATCTTTGGCTCCTGTTGTTGATTGCTTTGTTTGTTTAAGGCATTGTAGTGATGTTATATATCCTTTTATTAGGTACCTTATGAGTCCCTCTAATCACGAGGCAGGATATAAAACAGAAAGTTGGCTCCAGAGTGAGGACTTCTATATACTGACTTCTCTATATACTGCTTTTAACATGACAGTTTGCCAAGATTTCTGCTTCCAGATCCTTTGTAGGATTATGATCAACTCCTTTACATGTGTCTATGTGCTGGCTTTTATTTTTTTCTCTGTCTTTCTGTATGTTTCATTATGCCACTGCATTATAGGAGAATTGTAAAAATACGTGAGCTTTTCACTCCCATTAATTTTCAGATAATACCAGACTTTCCTCACTCTTAAAAAAGTTGTGGAAATACTTGTGAAGCAATGGTAGAGGCCCTGGAGTATGACAACATTGTGTAAAGAATCCACAGACTACCATGAGCAACGAATCACAGGCACACGTAAAAGCTTTGTGCAGAAAAGCCCTTGGTCATGCTTAGACTATTGAAATCAGTGGGACTTGAATAAAGTGATGATGAATAAAACCCTTAGTTACCTCACTTGTGACTTAAGATGTAATTGTGTGCATGTTTGGTTGTTTGTTTATTCTTTCATTCCTATATGGCCCAGTAGCAGAAGCTCTCTGGAAGATTAGAACTATGTATTTATTTGATTTTATTTGTATGCCACCCAGTTAGTCATAGGCTCTCTGGGTGGCTCACAGCATAATAACCAACATTTAACAACAGTTAAAACAATACAATTATTCATGAAACCATAATATAAAAACCAATAAGGTTACAATAAAATCAAAAAGAAAGAAAGAACGCATAAAACTAAACACCAAATATGTTGAAATAGCCTAATGACATAAAAATTACATGTACTACTTTTTTTCTGACTTTGGAATCAAAGTATGGCAGCAGCAACAATGTAAACCATTAAAAACATTAAACCAAAACAGCTCACCCACCAAAATAATCATGAAAAGGAGAAGTATTTAACTGGTGCCTGGAAGAGTAAAGGGTTGGTGCCAGCCAAATCTTGGATGGGGGTGAGTTCCATAATTGAGGTGCTGTTACGGAGAAGGCCCTTCTCACCATCCCTCCTCTTGCTTCACGGGCTGGGGAGGAATACGGAGAAGGCCCTCGGAGGATGACCTCAGTGATGGGGTAGGTATATATGAGGATAGGTGTTCCCTCAGATACCCCGGGCTTTGTATGCTCCGTGTATGTGTACTTAGACAGAAGAAAATTCCATGGCTTCCAGCACGCCCCATCTAGCATGCCCCAGCCAACTATGCTGGGAGGTGCAGGCCTTTTTCCTGTCCTAACAGGCATAGGATCATGACTTTAGTTTGGATCCAAGTCATTTGAAAGAAACACAGTTCCTGAAAGAAAAGCTAGAAGGTTTGACCATTTTAAAATTTACATTGGCCTTTTTTGCAGTCACATTACACTGCTGACTCGTGTTCAACTTGTGATTAACTACAACTCCAAGATACTTTTCACACATACTTGTTGCCCAGCCAGTTATCTTATAATTGAGCATTTGATTTCTTTCTCCTAAACTAAGAATTTTACCCTTGTCTCTGTTCAAGTCCAATCTATTACTTCCTCCCCAGTTTTCTAACATATTAAGATCATTTTGATGTGGTTTCTAATATATTATCTATCTTACCCAGTTTTGCGTCACTGGCAAATTGGATAATCATTCCCCCTTCCTCTTCCTCCAAGTCACTAGAAGATACCTGAGCTCAGCAGCACTGACATGCAGTCATTGGATATAGTTCTCTAGCCAGCTGTGGATCCACCTAGTAGTAGTGCAGTCCAGCCCACACCTAAGTAACTTGCTAATCAGAGTATCGTCGGGCCCTTTGTCAGATTCCTTGCTGTAGTCAAGTTTTATTATGCCCACATAAACAACTTAAGAAGGAGGCTAGACAGTTTGAGAGTAGGGCACTCAGTGGTTGCTACTCCTGGTGGGCATATGCTCCCTCCAGAATCGGAGCAAAGAATGCCTCTGTGTACCAGTTGCTGGGGAACATGAGCTGGAGGGTGCTGCTTAAATATTGCCTGTGGGCTCCCCACAGGATCTGATGGGCCACTTCAGGAACAAAATGCCAGACTAGATAGGCCATTTGACTGATCCAGGACAGCTCTTCTTGTGCTACTATATATTTTTATCCTGTCCCATAATGCTGTAATTTGGGGTCACCCAGTGAAATTTATTGGTGAAGTAATACAAGCAGAGGTATTCTTTGTATGAAAGAACATTGGCTGGAGCATGCTGTAATGATGGGCATTATCTTCAGTGGGCCCTTTCACAAGCTAAGCCATAATTTCCTTGCATTCCTGTAACCACGTAATCTTGCCACTGTTACTCCAGCCATGTAGTATTACAGAAGCACCCTTGTGCCATTACTCAGGCTGCTAGTTTTGCTGAATGGTATCTTGCTCACTTGCTCAAAGCTAGACTTGCTATTGGCATGTCATTTATAAACCTATTTACTGCATTCACTTCACTGGAATTTATTTCCAAGCCAGCATGCTTAAAATTGCTGTCTTAAGGATTTGCTGAATCCGTGCCACAATGGGTGCTTTTATCCATTCTGTGGCAAGTGCAAGTCAAGCACACAGAGCCAGTTTTGAGGTTGTGCAGATTGCTCCTTGGCTCAGTTACTTCTAAGAGGGCTTTTTAAATTAGTGTGATTCTGGCGTGTGCAGGGAAACCCTTTTATCTTACTTGCTGTGGTTCTTCTTGGAACATGTCAATATTATTCAGAGAGCCTTGCCAACAGATTCACAACATCTGGGGATGAAAAAGAACTGCAAAATGCGTGCTGTGGATAATGGGGTTCTGCAGGGTCCAAAAGACAGGTGTGTTTTCTTTCCAGTGATGCTGTTAGTGCCTTAAAGATCACACTGTGAAACTGCACTGGGTTCTGTAGAGGCTTGGCACACGAAAGGAGGGTGGGCAACCTCTTGTCCCTGATGGGCAAGTAGTGGCCTGACAGGTGCTCAGCAGCCCCACTGTTGACCTAAATCTCAGGAAGTGGGCAAGCAAATGTGGCTGGGGGAGATGTGAAGGGAAGCCGATTCATTCTTCCAGCCGTGCTGAAAGACTGTTTAATGTGTTCTTCTTGCCTTCCCATTGCTTTTTCCTTGTGTGCTGTGTAGACTGCAAGCCTTTGGGCAAGGCCTGTCATGTTTTGCTGATTGTGTCTAAGCTGTTTCAGGTCAGAACCCTTTTTGGCTGAAGAGTGGGATAAAAATAGTTCAAAAATAAACACATTCATCTTGCACAGTGAGAAATTGTGTGCGTCTGCCATTCAGTGTTCACATTTTTGCAGGCAGTTTGAATGGATGGTGTGCTACTGTACTGTACTCGAAGCAAGGACTAATTAGAAGAGCAAGTAAGAATTCTACTTATTGCAGGGAGGGGACTCTCCCACCTCCTTAAATGTGCTGAGGATCTCAATTTTTAATCCTTACCTTCTATATGAATTTCCCTGCCTCTGAGTACAGTAGAATCAGTAAGGCTTCATTCAGTCTGAACCACTTAACCTGATCTTTTCCAATAGCCAATAAATTTATTTTGCTTATTTCATTGGTACCCTGCACCTTCAATATCTGAAGATACCAGGGCAGCTACAATTTGAAATGTAAGAAAACATAAAATACAATGTCAATTTAAAAAATAAAGCTTCAAAAACTTAAAAGTAGCACTAACCTCAATTGCCTAAAAGTACAAAGAACATTCAGAATTTCTGGGAATTTTTAAAATGCACAGGAGAATAAAAATATTGTTGCCCAGCACCTAAAGGAATCAGTGAAGGCACCAAGTGACTTTCCATAGTGAGGGCATTCCAGAGGAAAAGCCTGCTGCAACTCAGAAGTTCCCCAGGTTAGGATCTCAGTGAATGGGTGGACTGATATAGGAAAAGGCAATCCAGTAAGTATCTGGACCCCAAGACATGTAGGATTTTAAAGTTTGAAATCTTGGTTTTTTTAGTTCAATGCTTGTTTACTTGTATCATTCTTGGTTTCTAATTTAATTCTCCCTACCTTGATGTTCCGTTTAGGGGGCTGGTGTTTGTTGCTCATGGTGCTGGAGAACACTGCTGTCGCTATGATGACCTGGCCCAGATGCTGACAGGAATCAACTTTTTTGTATTTGCTCATGACCATGGTGAGTGAGAACCATTAAAAGAATGCTGCATGGTTGCAATGGGGAAAAGGATGAGGTCAGAAGCTCTTCGGAGTTCAGAACCAGAGACCATAATTGAGTGAGCTTAAAGTGATTGTAAATTACTTCAAAAGGATCTCTCCACTCTGAAAGGGGAGGCATAAAAATGGCAAATGAATTCCAATGTATGTACATGTAAAGTGATGCTCATTGAGCCATAGAATCCCAGCTTCACAATGGGATCCCAGCTGGTGGTGCCCAACCAGGAGAGAGCTCTTAGGGTTGTGGTGAACATTTCACTGAAAATGTGGACCAAATTGTGGGCATAATTAGGAAAGTATTTGCAGGGAAAGCTGCCAGTATCAAATTGCTCTTATAGAAATCTATGGTGTGACTTGCAATACGCTGTATAGTTCTGGTAACCACACCTCAAAAAGAATACTGTGGGGTTGGAAAGGTGCAGAAATGGGCCACAAAAATGATCTGTTTGTGGATGCTGAAGGGGATAGAATATGAAGAACTGCCTGGACTCCAGTGATGTTTCAGGAGGAAATGTTCCTTGTCATAAACACCTCTGAAGAGCTGTGCTTGGTCAGACCAAAGATCCCTTAAGTCCACCATCCTGTTTCTCACAATGAGCAAGCAGATTTATTCATTTATGGATCATTACACTTGTATCCAAACTTGTCCTCTCTTGCAAAGGACCCACGGTGGCTTACATGGTTTCTCCATTTTATCCCCACAGCAGCCCTGTCAGATGGGCTTGATGGGGACTGCGGTTAGCGCAAAACCTCCCGTTGAGCTTCATGGCGGAGTGGGGATTAGACCCACATTAGACCCAAGTGCCAGCCCGGCATCATTCTAGCTACCACGCCACTACACTGTCGCATCCCACAGCGGCATGCCATGAAGACACACCTCTCTCCTGTTCCTGCTGTCCAGCATAGAGCCAATTGCCAGTGGTCGACCTCTGCTTTGTTCTGAAAGGATGCTGCATCTCTCAGTTGCCTTTCCAAGGAGCACATGCAGGCAAAAATACTTCGAAGAATCAGGGGAATCAGTCCTTTAGGACCATCTCTTTATCGACATTCAAAAACAAACCAAAAATGCCAACGCGTTTTCCCCCTCCCAAATGACAGGGTCGCTTACTATGGGAGCATCTCCATGCTGGCTTTCAAAGATGGAACAAGTTTATTTCATTTGACTTCCTAATCAAAACCAACAATTGAGGAGGACTGAACTTAGAGCCAACACTTGGACTATGTTTTTCCTCCCATAAACCTTTTAAAAATCACAGCAGAGTAGCCCCCTCCACGTTGCTTATGTTTTTTCTGTTCTTTCCCTGTAGACGCAAGTATACTCATTTATTTGTTTCTGACAGCTCAAGCGTTTATCTGGGAAAACCCTCGGCTGTTTCTGCAAGTTTAAGGAAGGCATATGGATTGCCACACTTGTCTTCCCAGAAAACTCCAATTATTTCATTAGGCAGTCTTATGCTGGAGCCATGCAGCTTGAGCAATTAAGTTCATAATTCCCCTTAATGACCATCTGGGAGTGTGCACTTGAGCTGCGTCCAGGCTGCATCTCTCCTCCCACCCCCCACTCGCTAGCCCAGGTTAATGATACTTAATGGTTGTGGCTATTACGTTGGGACTGGTGTACACATTCTGGGTCCTGATCATTCACAAGCCCACAGACAGAAATGCCGTGTTAAGCCTTTGCCTTGTTTCTGTCTCTGTCACTCGTTAGAGAATGTTGGATTTTGATGCTGTGACCACAAATGTATCCCCTCAACCAGTGAGGGCGTAACTCTTCTTTGATTTTTTAAAAAATGTTTTCAGTATTTGGTCGATCATAGGAAAAAACTCTCCATGAGTTCTCATGTCAAGTCATACCTTGCATGAATACAAGCAGACATGCTATACGTTATGACTGAGTGCAAGACCACACACTGAACTTGATCAGATTATCATACCTTGGTTTAATAAACTGAGACATGAAAAATCCTTTTGTCTGTGTTCTCACACCCTTCGTTCCATCAGAAGAGCCTGTTAACAGGCTAGGAAGTCTTCCCCTAACTAGCATTTCCATCCAGAGGACTGTGTTTACCAGAGGTCTGATTACGCAGTAGCCTTCGTGCGGGCACAGCCTGTTGTATCCCATTTTTTTCTTTAAATACAGAATGTTGTGGGCTCTGTTGCTTTCTCCTGCTTGCTGGTATGAAATGCAAACTTCTGTCCATGTACCCACCTTTTGTCTCTCCCCCCTGCCCCTCTTTCCCCACTCCTCCTGCTACCAGTTTTTCTTCTCATACTTCTGTCTTCCTCTGCAAGCATGTGTGCTGGTAAATCAGTTTACCTGCTCATACACCTTTTTTAAAAAATGAGGAATTGTTCAAGACCATTATGGCAGAAGCTTGCAGCTGCATATTGTCAAAAGGAGATAACTCCAGAAGTGTGCCAGTACTGTGCTATCAAAACAAAAAATGAAGGAAACCCAGTCATGTTTGTACTAAACCAGCTGGAAATCAAATAAACAAAGGGGAGCGGAATTGTGCTACATAAACATATTGATTCAGAAACTTCACAGTAAATGTCACAACCACAGCCCCACAGGAATGTAACAGGCTCCCAAAAAGAAGATTCACATCAGTGGATCTTTGCAGTACTGTGACACAAAAGACGCATTAATGAATTTTCCTTATTATTCAAAAAATGGGGGACAAAGTCAGGAAACCTCATGGGGTGACTGCAGAATCATATCGCTGAGCAGAGAGCGCACAATATCACACACATGGGGCAAGGGAATAGCATATTAGAAGTCTGGCCTAAACAAGCTGCAGCTTCAGAACAATCCAGGATCTTAGATCATGGTCTGAAAATGTTTTAATATGCTGCTGATTCATTGTTTTCTTTTTGGACTACACAAGAAACTATAGTTAATGGGAGTCTCCCTGCTTTTTCGCTGGCTCATGCTAATTTACTATCTTGGCCAGAGATAAGATCAACCAAATTCTCTGATTATTTTAAATGCATGTTAACTAAACTGGCTAAAACTTTCTTCAGAAAAAGAAGCTCAGATCTGGAATGGGACCCGTGTGTGTGGGAGAGAAGTTAGCCCTTCCTCCCACACTGTTTTCCTGCTGAAGATCACCCTGAAGTAACAGCTTCACAGTGCAATGTTTGGTGGGGAAACAGTACGGGAGCAGGGTTAAAGCCCTGAGTGCCTCACAGTGTTCCCAGCGCAGACTGAGGTCCCTGAAGTGACCTTTTGTGAAGAAAGTTACGTTGGTAGTTTTATTATATACTAAGGACTGGAATTATGAATTGCCTTTCACCATGAATTAGTGATCCGGTTGCATTGTTCTGTGGGTTTTTCCCCACTGTTGCCTGCATTCTAAATTGCATTTCAAAATTAAAGCCTCATTAAAAAAAATGCTTTCAGAGTGATTGGACTTTGGTGCTGAGCTTCTCGCCTTGGCCGATCAGTTAATAGAAACGACTCCTGTATAAATCTTGGAAATATGATGTCAAATCTTGAAATTAGGATGGTGAGGTATCTGGCCTAATTTGTCAAGAGCCAGAAATAGCCACCTGTCAACTGTTCTGCTCATTTCGTTGCATGTCTGCCACATGTACATCATAAATGGCAGTTCAGTTCACTGTGTCACATCTTGCTTAAATAGTTATCGGAAAGCAAGGAAAACATCTATTATTGAGATATCCAGAGTCTGTTCCCAGCACAATCCCCAGTGAGCCTTCACTGAGGCTGAATAAAAAGGTATATGGCAGGCCCCCATTTCTTAGCCTCTGCAACACCGATAATACTTGTAGCCAGGAAATGGGGAGCTGCTAGAGTTGCCAGACTGAGCATTCCTGGCAACCACAGTATGGCATTCATGGGCTTGGGCAGGAAATTCCTGTGCTTAGATCTCGAGGAAGGAACCAGTGAGAGCTCTTAGCCTTGAATGCACAGAGTGTTTTCTGTCCCAAATGCAGAGTGATTCACAAGAAAGAGTTCTGTCCACTTTGAAAATTTCCATTCAGGTGTAAAGCTGAATTGCACTTTAACATAGGCTGGGTTCAGATGGCACAATAACCCACATTTGGGGTGGAGCATGGTTTGAGTGTGGGTTGCCATTGAATGATGGGTTGTTTGGTTGTTTTAATGCAGCCACGCTAACATTGTTAGTCAGACACAGTCTGCAAAGAGAACCCATGGTTTGCTGTTGGGTTGTGAATTATGGGTTCTTTGTGGTTAACAAACCATGGTTTATTACCATGGCTGGGCTCAGATAACACAACAACCCACAGTTCAACCACAAGCCACCTTGGGTCCCCTACAAAAGAAAGGCAGGGTTTAAAAATAGCATTACCATCATCATCACCTTATGTGTCATTGTATGTGTAACTTACAGGGCAATCCTTGGAAGTAAATCTCAGTTGGACATCCTGCTGAGTACTAATTGCAGTGCCAGGCTCAAGCCTCTGTCCCCCTGTCACAAATTATGCAGAGTCTCTTTATTATGTTCAGGCGACAGAGAGAGAGAAGGCTCATTATCCTGAAGGTTCAGCTTTCAGATGCTGAGAAACACTGTGAGACACCCACCCACACTCCCCACCTTGTTTTCAAAGCATTCCATAACCGACTAGGAAAAACAAATACACCCAAATGATGTTTCCTGATCCATATAATGACTTTTAGAGTTTTGCTGGTCCAAGCTGGTTCAAAAAAGTCAGCAGAATAGAGTTTAAAAAGAAGGACTTTGTGTACATAGGCAATGTGTGACAATATGTCAGAACTAATATGGTGTAGTAGTTAGAATGTCAGACTCAAGAGTTTGGGGTTCTAGTCCTCACTTGGCCATGAAGCTGCCTGGGTGATTTTGGGTCAGTCATTGTCCCTCAGTCTAACCTACTTCACAGGGTTGTTGAGGGGGGAAATGAAGAGAAAGCAAACCATGTCAGCTGCCTTGGTTTTTCTGTAAGAGGAAAAAATGTGGA